TGCCTGTCCCTGCCCCTCTCTGCCCTCACCCTCCTACCTGTCCCTGTCCCCTGTGCCCCGCAGGTCCCCACCACCACAGCGGGACAGTATGGTGGGCCACATGGGGCTCCTTAAAGGGACACAGGTGAGGGTGGGTCAGCACCAGGCTCCCCTGGGTCCCGCTCCACCTCTTGCCTGCCCTTGCAGTACCAGTGCCGGCGTCCCCGCCATGGCCAGCTGCAGGGCCCCTGGCTCCCCGCCCCGGCAGAGCGGCCCTGGCTCCGCGCTGGAGGAGGAGGAGGAGGATGACGACCCAGCCCTGGGCTGCGACGGTGACCTGGAGGTGAACCCCTACGATGGGCTGCCCTTCTCCTCCCGCTACTATGAGCTTCTGCGGCAGCGCCGGGAGCTGCCTGTCTGGACCACCAAGTACAGCTTCATGGAGCACCTGGAAGGCAACAGCGGCATCATCCTAGTGTCCGGGCCCCCCGGCACTGGCAAGAGCACCCAGGTGAGTGCAGGCGCTGTGTCAGGGCAGCTGGGAGCAGCCAGCCCCGCTGGGGGCTGTGCATGGCTGGGCAGGGCCATGGTGCTGCCTGGGAGCCCAGCACAGGGCTGTGGTACTGGCCGCTCTGCCAATGGTCTCTCCTCATGCCTGCTGGACTCCCAGCTGAGTATCCCGTCCCTCCTGCCCAAAACACCTGCAGCACCGCTGTCAGCAGCAGTGGGGTCCTGCCCCAAGGCCGCTGCCTTCCCCACGGGGCCTGCATGCAGATCCTGCTCCAGTGCAGGCAAGCCACAGCTCCTGTGGCAGGGGAGCCACCAAGCTCTCGCCCCTGACAGAACAGAGCGGGCTGGCCCTGCATGCTCCCCTCCCGCCAGCCCCCTTGCATGGCATTACGACGTGTTCACCATGTGCTGGCAGGCCCTAGGCCATGGTGGAGTGGGGAGCTGGGAGCTGAGGCGGCTGCATGGCTGCAGGCAGAAGGAGAAGGGAATGTGGCCGGGCAGCAGCTCCCTGACCCCACGGCAGCATCTGAGCTTGTGGTGAGGGTGGAGAGAGCGACGGGCCCCACAGGGCTTCAGCTCCACTGCGGTACTTAGGAGCGTGCCACCACGGTGAGCCTGGCGTGGGGCAGGGCTAGTGAGGAGCCAGGCAGTCGTGCGCCAGAATGTGCTGGGGCAGGCACTGGAGCCCCAGGCAAAGCCTTGGCACGAGCCAGGAAGTGCTGCTGCGGCGGTGCAGGGCGTCGGGCGGGCATGGGAGGCGGCACAGGGAGTGGGAAACGGCCCCTCCCCGGAGCTGAGCCCGGGCGCACGGGGTGGTGGCAGGTGTGGGCGGTCGGGCTGGACGGTGGTGGGTCCAGGGTGCCAGGATCCCGCCTGCCTGCCCCGGGGAGCTGGTTCCATCTGATGGCCCCTGGCGTGGCATGTGGAGACGTCGTCAGGCAGACTTTGACCAGGGAGGGATCACCTAGAAGCTGCGTGGGCAGCCGTGGCCTCTGGGGGGCTGGACGTGGGCTGGGTTGCTGCGTGGCAGCTGCTGGCCTCGGGCTATCAGGGTGTTGGCAGTGGGCTTGGGGCCGCTTGCCCAAACCACCTCCCTTGGGTGTGACCCCACTGCAGCACGAGCCTGGGTTCAGCCCGTGGCACCGGCCAACCCACAGGGCGACAGACTTGGGGAATAAAGCACTTGTGCGGGCCCTGGCCTGGTCTGGCCCCAGGGCTGGGCTGCTTTTGGGTGCAGGTACCCTGCCTACAATCCCTGCGGGGCCCTGGGACCACTGTGCCCTGAGCAGACCAGGGGATGTCACTTGATCCATGTGGAGCATCTGATCCTGCACGTTGGTGCACCAGCACCCCTCAGATGTGGTGTTTCCACCCACAGGGGCAAGAGCCAATGTACAAGCCGGGTCTCTTCACCATGTCGTGGCCGAGGGCTGTCTGTGCCCTGTGCCACCACCCTTGCTGGTCTTTGCAGGCAGCGGGGCAGCAGAAGGGAGGTTGCAGAGCCGTGCACGGAGACACGGCTGAGCGCAGACAATCCATGGGGCAGTTGTGGGGCTGGGTGGAGGAACAGAGCAGGCTGCACACCTGCCCATGGTCACTGCCAGGCGCATGTATGACCCCTGTGCTCCTGCTTGGCTGTGGGCTGGGCTGTCTGGAGGCAGCCCCTGGGCAGGACTCTGCCTGTCTGCGACCCCTGGTGCTGGGCAGACACGGGTGCAGGCACCTGCTCGCGGAGAGCACACGGCATGGGAGGAGTGAGCGAGGCGGGCAGATGTGTCAGGAGCAGTTAAACAGCAGATTTCTGGTCCCCAGTGCCCAAGGGACATGTGCACGGCCCCAGGACCATCCTGCACTGCTTGGCTGGGTGCTTGGGCAGCAGCTGCTCCCTGGCGCTTCCTTCCCCATCTCTCACCGTGGGGTTTCCTGGGGTAGCATGTGATCCCTCTGGCCCCGTGCGAGGATGCTTGAGCCCGTGCCCCAGACTTGTGTCTGTTGCAAGGTCTGGGTCTCATGGATCTAGCCAGTGACCACTGCTCTGTGCTGATCCTGAGCGGGGACCTGCCCAGCCTTTCCTGGAGAGGAGCAGGGGGTCAGTTAGAATAGACCAGGATGGCTCCAGTCGGAAGGGACCTGCAGCCATCACCTGGTCCAACTGCCTCACCGCTCCAGGGCTGACCAAAAGTTAAAAGCACATTATTAAGGGCATTGTCCAAATGTCTCTTAAGCCCTGGCAGGCGTGACCTGGAGGCACTGATCTCTCTGAGCTGGCAGCTCTGGTGAAGGCAGCGCAGCACGTACCCCGCCCCAGCCCCATTTTTCCTGGGGAGGTGGAAAGGACTGTTGTCGCATGCCCGTAATGCAAGAGCCAGGGCCATGGTGTCCTATAGCAAAGCAGAAAGGTGTAGGCGTGAGGAGATGAGGCTGTGGGGCTCATGTCACAGGTTGCTGGGGCTCATAAGTGATGGTACTGGGGAGGGAAGGTCCCCCCTGGGCTGTCGAGTGCTTCTGTATGGCCTCTGGCCCGGGAGGTCCTACAGCTGGATCTCTGGGGGCTGCTGTGGGGAGGGTCCCTCTGCCTTTCTGGGTGGGCACAGCGGGCGACACTCCATGATGGGGAGGGGAACGTCTTGGCACTCCTGGCCGGGGCTGCGCTGTCCCCAGCCTGTGACCGGCATTCTGGCCCTGCAGATCCCGCAGTGGTGCGCGGAGTATGCCCTGTCCCTGCAGTTTGCCCACGGCCTGGTGGCCTGCACCCAGCCCCACAGCCTGGCCGCCCTCAGCCTCTCCCTGCGCGTGGCGGACGAGATGGACCTGAACCTGGGCCATGAGGTTGGCTACTGTGTCCCCCACGAGGACTGCTGCACCACCGAGACCATCCTCAGGTACAGGGATGGGGGGGCCCCGCGGGCTGCCTGTGCCAGGAGCGCTGGTCGCACTGCGCTCTAATCCCGCTGAGCTCCCTGGCTGCAGCATAATCTCTTAATCCAGCCTGGCCTCGTTGTGGGAGCGATGAAGTGGGTTGCTGGCTGCCCGGGCCCTCCCGGGGCTGTTGTGGGGGCTCCTGCCATTGGGGAGGGGGCGAGGTGTGCTCCCGAGGGCGGCATGTGGGGACACCTGTGGGGCTCCAGCCTGCAGTGCCTGGGGTCCCCGCAAGCCACCCCGCATTGACAGGGCCGGTCCGCGGCAGGTACTGCTCGGATGAGATGCTACTGCGGGAGATGACATCGGACCCGCTGCTGCGGCAGTACGGTGTGGTGGTGCTGGACGAGGCACAGGAGCGGACAGTACCCACTGACGTGCTGCTGGGGCTGCTGAAGGATGTGCTGCGCCAGCGTCCCGCCCTGAAGGTGGTGGTGGTGACCTCGCCAGCCATGGAGGAGCAGCTCCGCGCCTTCTGTGGGGACCCTCCCGTGGTGCGGGTGCCAGGGCCTGGGCCCCCTCCCCAGCTGCTCTACAGGGATCCGCCAGCCCGCAGCCGCATCGCGGCTGCCTGCCAGGCTGTGCTGGACATCCACCGGCGGCAGGAGCCTGGCCACGTCCTGCTCTTCCTGGCCAGCGAGCAGGTGGGCTGCAGGCACCCCACAGCTTGGCTCCTGGGGGATTCACTGCACCATGAGGCAGAGGGGGGACTGAGGCAGGGGGAAGATTTGGGGGATCCCTCTCAGCTGCGTGCAGAGAGCCCTGAGAATGTGGCACCTGCTGGAGATTAAACTGCGGGAGCCAGGGCTCCTCTGCAGAAGGGCTGTGGGCACCATGCAGGGCCCAGGGTCTTTCCCCCCAGGGCATCAGGAGGCAGCTGCAGGGCACGGCGCAGTGTCCCGTTCTGGGGATGGGGCCTCTCCAGGTGTCAGCGGGCATCGCTCATGTCCCTCCGTCCTTCCCCGCAGGAGATCGCCGAGTGCTGTGGGGCCATCCAGACCGAGGCCATGGCGCTGAACCCGGGGCTGGGCCCGCTGCTGGTCCTGCCCCTGCACCCCAGTGTGGGCCGCGCGGCGCAGAAGGTGTACGAGGTGCTGGAGGAGAGCGGCCGAGAAAGGCGGGTGATTGTCACCCACTGGCTCGCGGACTCATCCTTCTCTCTGGGGACTGTGCGCTTTGTCATTGACTCAGGGCTGGAGCTGCGCAATGTGAGTGTGCCGGCCTGCACCAGGAGTGCCGGGATGGGGAGCCGAGCGGTGGCAAGCGCGGGGCCCAGCTCTGCTCTGGGGCAACACTGGCAGCACGGGCTGAGGCGAGTCTGGGGAGGGAGCAGCGGGGCCATAGTGGTCTGCGTCGTCTGCTCGGCCCACCCGGGCCCTGCCATGATGCCCCAGGCTGGGGGACACTGTGCGGTGTGTAGGATCTGTCCCAGGGAGGTGGCAGTGGTGGCACTGCACCGGCGGGATGGAGGGGCCTTGGGAGAAGGTGGGGGCTCGTCTGCGGGTGTCCCTTCTCACGGCCTTGCCTGCAGGTCTACAACCCCCGCATCCGGGCAGAGTCCCAGGTGCTGCGGCCCATCAGCAAGAGCCAGGCGGAGTCGCGCATGCAGCGAGCCGCAGGCAGCCCCCCAGGTGAGAGCCCCTGCCCGAGCATCCCCCCGAACGTGCCTCCAGCAGGAGAGGGCTGTTGTCCCACCCCGCCGGGGCCCCAGGCAGCCCGTTGGCCCAGCATGCTTCCTTGCCTGCCTGCCTGCACTTGCTGCCATGTCCCTGGGCTCCATCCCTCCCACTGTCGGGGCTCATGGCCCCTCTCCTGCAGGCACCTGCCTGCGCCTCTACTCGGAGGCCTTCTATGAGCAGCGCCTGCCCCCCAGCCCCGCGCCCCACGTCAGCGAGACCAGCCTCAGCCGCCTCGTGCTGCTGCTGAAGCGCCTGGACATCGCCGACATGGGCCAGTGCGACTTCCTTGACCGGCCAGGTAGTGCCCGCAGGGTGGCGGAGGGGCTGGGAACAGCATGGGGGGGCCGGGGCGGAGGGGCGCGACAGGGGCAGCCGTGCCGGAGGAGCCAAAGGTTGGCTGTGGCCATGGCCATCACCGCAGCCCGGGTTGTCTCTGGAGAGGGGCTGGAGGGTCCCACAGGTGCAGGAGGAGGATGGGCAGGGCCGCCTGGTCCTGGTAGCCAGCTGATGTCCTGCTCCAGCCCCCGAGTCGTTGATGCAAGCGCTGGAGGACCTGGACTACCTGGCCGCCCTGGACGATGATGGGAACCTGTCGGAGGTGGGGATCATCATGTCGGAGTTTCCCCTGGACCCCCAGCTAGCCAAGGCGCTCATTGCCTCCTGCGAGTTCGACTGCGTGGAGGAGATGGTCAGCCTGGCTGCCATGCTCACAGGTACCGTGCTGAGGGCCTCGGAGCCCACTCTGCTGCTGGCGCAGGGCACGGTGCAGCCCCCAGAGAGCCAGCGCTGGCAGGGGTGGTGCTGGGGGGCACGCAGTGACCTTCCCTCTGCGCCGTCCCCAGCTTCCCCCTGCTTTGTGCCCCCTTCCACGCACCTGGAGGAGGCCGTGACCATGCGTCGGCGGGCCCTGCTCCACCCAGACGGAGACCACTTCACCCTCATCAACATCTTCAACGCCTTCCAGCAGCGTGAGTGCCGGGCAGGGGCTCGACTGCTGGTGGGCTGCACACTCCGGTGGTGTCCCACAGCTCCCTCGCGTGTCCCCTGCTCCTTTCAGGAGCAAGCACTGCAGCCACATTCGTGACACCATCCAGGTGCCCCACCTTGGCTGTGAGGGGGTCCCAGCCCCAGACTGGGGGCCACGCTTTCTGCATGGTCCCTGTCCCCACTGCTTTGAGGGGACCCAGTCTGTGGGAGCAGCAGTGCCTGGTTTCGTGGCCCATGAGCCCCCAGCCTAGCTAGGGCACCCACTTTGGCGTGGGGTCTCTGCTCACCCAGTCCTGTCCCTGCGGTGCTGACCCTGCTCTCCCCGCAGACAACGCGGAGGAGGGCTGGTGCCGCAAGCACGGGGTGAGCGGGGAGGCGTTGCGGCTGGCGGGCATCGTGCGGGCAGAGCTGCTGGAGGTGATGCAGCGCATCGAGCTGCCCATCTCACCCCCCGCCTTCGGCACCGACGCCAACATGCTCAACATCCAGAGAGCACTCATCTCCGGCTACTTCCTCAAGGTGGGCTGGGGGGGCCACGAGGGGCCCAGCCACAGGGCAGGGGTCATGCCAGCCAGCCACGCTCCCCTTCTGCTCCGCTTCCCAGGTGGCCAGGGACATCGACGGCTCCGGTAACTATGTGATGCTGACGCACAAGCACGTGGCCCACCTGCCCCCCACATGCTGCTACCTGCTGCGGCAGCCCCCCCAGCGCCTGCCCCCCTGGGTCCTCTACCATGAGTTCACCATCTCGCAGGACAACTGCCTCCGCGTCGTCTCGGAGATCCAGCCCCAAATGTGAGGACCTCTGGGACGGAGAGGGATGGGTTGTGCCTGGGCTGCGTCCGTGCGTGGCTCCGGAGCTGGCACCAGCTTGGGAGCGCAGCGGAGCCCTGGGGCAATGCCTGGCCTGGGCCTCTTCTCCCGTGGGCAGGTGGGGGACTGTCCCCTTTTGGGGGAGGGGAGGTTGCCCCAGGGAGGCCCCCGGGGCCAGCTGCCCCTCCTTGACCCCCCCCCATCCCCACAGGCTGGTGGAGCTGGCACCCCAGTACTACCTGAGCAACCTGCCACCCAGTGAGAGCCGCGACCTGCTGATGGAGCTGCGGGAGAAGGTGGTGGCCGTGGAGGACGTGCCGGCAGTGCCAGAGCCGCTGGGAGAGGCGGCCGGCAGGGAGGATGAGGAGAGGGAAGTCTGTGTGCTGCAGTGAGCTGGAGCCACTGGAGCCCCCGCGTCGGGGCCGCTTGGGCTTGGCTGTGACCGCCGGGGATAGGAGAGCCCCGGGGAAGCTGTGCTGCTGTGGGGGCTGACCCGATCTCCAGGGAGGCACAGGCACAGCCTGCCGCTAGCACAGCTCTGCACCACGGTTACAGTACCAGCGGCCACGGGACCGGCTCCTGGCATCTCCCATCTCCCCTGGGGACAGAGCCCTGTTTGGGGGAGCGCTGGCCCTGGGCCTGGGGGATCGTGCAGGCCCTCCCTGCCCGGGCTCCTTCACCCCGTGTTTCTCCAGGGGCTGCCGTGGGGCTGGGGGCACTGGTCCTGCCTGTCCTGCTCCCCCCATGCCCGGGGGAGCAGTGCCGAGGGGCCGCTTGCGGGTCTCTCCTGTATAAAGTTTTGTGACCTTTGCTCCTGGCCTTGTGTCCGTGATTGCAGCCAAGGAGGGCTCACGCCCCAGAAGGGTCTGGCAAGGGTGGGCTCCATCCCACTGTGGGCTCCATCCCATCCCGGGGTCCTGCCTGCAGTGGGGCAAGGGCTCCCCCCAGCCCCTACACCTCTGTGGGGCAGCTCTGTGTCCCGTCCCGTCCCCAAGCCTCCCTTCTGTGGAGGGGAGTTTCTGAACATGAGGCATCCCTGGTTTTGCTCACACTTCCCCCCCCCCTCCGGTTCTGGGTAGCATGCCACTGCCCTGGTCATGCGGACGCGCCGAGGGGCAGCCCTGGCCTTTGCACCGGGTCTTCCCCTCCGCTGTCGCGTGCTCTTCCGCAGAAGCAAAGGGGAAGCTGCGGCCAGCGGGGGAGCAGGCGCCAGTCTGGATGTGCAGCCAGCTCATGCTCCCCCCCAGGACAGGACAGGACATGGGTGCTCCCCTGGGATGAGGTGCTCCCCTCCCTCCCTGTCCTCGGGGTCCCCCTTCTTGCCTTGGGGTCCCGTCCAGCTTTCCAGCAAGTCTCACTTCTCTCAAGGCTCCCCGGCACCATGACCAAGGGCTGAGCTTCTGCCTGGGGGGCCCGGGGTCCCAGTGTGGGTGCTGTGCTCCAGCCCCTGGGCACAGGGTTGCTCCATCCCAGCAGCTGACACCCCCCCTCCGTCTTCCTCCTTCCCTCTCTGCAGCCCACGCGTGGGGGCTCTGCTGTTCTCAGGAAGGGGCCCGGAGGCTCCTCCACCCTGTCCCGACCACAGCGTCTTGCAGGTCGGGCGGAAAGGTAAGGGCTGGGCCTCCCCGCAGCCTCCTTGGAGCCCAAACTTCCCCTTCGCTTTCTAGGAACCCCAGAAAGTACGTGACCGGGTGCAACTCGTGCCTCACCATCCTCCCCAGCCAGGGGCTGCCTGCCCCTGGGATGGGGGGGGCTGCGTCATCCCCTCTGCCTGGGCTGGGGCTGCAGGTGGTGGGGGCTGGGGTGGGCGCAGGGGCTGTGCCCTGCCAGGCTGAGTGGAGGCGGCAGTGCAGTGGAGCTGGGCTGGTGCTTGCGGTGATGGTGAAAGGGAGGCTGGTGGAGGTGGCTGCCTCTGCCCCTGCATCCCCGTCGCGGCACAGCATCCCACGGAACAAGCAGCCAGGGCAGCTGCGTAGTAGCCCTGGGAGGGGAGGGAAGGGGTGAGACAGCCGCTGCCTGGCTGGGTGCAGCACCCAGAGCCTCTGCAGGGACCTGCTCCTTTGGGACCCACCGCAGCCCAACCAGCCAGGGCCAGGCACCATGCCTGCCCCTCTCTGGACCCCTGGGACAGGCACTGCTGGACCTTGGTGGTCCCTTCCCCATGCCTCAGCCCCGGCTCCCCCCGCAGCAGGGGGTTGTGGGTGCTCCGTGTGGCGTCTGTGATGTGCCAACCCTCAGCTGGTCCCGGGGCTCAGGACCACTCTGCGGGAGCTCGGAGCACCCAGGGCTCTGGCACCGTCCCAAGTGCCCAGTGCTGCCCCTTCACCCAGCCGTTCCCAGGAGGGGACCTGTCCTCACCACCCCAGCGATGCCCATGGTCGGGGCAGGACAACAGGTTGCCAGTGCCCCCTGGCCTGGAAAGTACCCATGGTGACTCCCAGTAAGGTTGGGGCTGGGTGGGTTGGGGGCTGAGCATGGGTCCTAGCTCACAATTCCAGCCAGCGCAGCTTTTCCCTCTTCTGAGAACTGTGATGCTTCTGTGGTTTGGCTTCACCTTGGGGCAGTCCCACGGGGTCTTGGCTCAGTATATACCCAGCCACCCACCGGCCCCCAGCCCATGCTGAGCCCACTGGAGCAGCGCACACCACAGCGGTGAGGTAGGCACAGCATGGGAGCTGCCAGGGGGGCTGCTTGCACTGTGGCCCCCGGAGGGTTTGGGCACCAGGGAGTGCTGGGAAGGTGCTGCTCCAGGCGGGTACTGCAGCCCCCTGCCCGGGGGTGGGCACCCAGTGAGGCTGTGGTGGAAAGGGTTGGGGTGTCACATCGGCTGCCAGCCCAATGCAGGACTCCCCTGCCGCTGCACCGCTCCCCATCCTGCCTGACCCTGCTGCCGCCCCAGGACCAAGGGTTCTGCCCTCGCTGGTCCTCCTGGCTGCATCCCAGCTCCAGCAGCTCCGGCAGCTCACCTTCTCCCAGGGTACGGCTGGCCTCCCTCCCTGGGACAGAGCTGCCCTTCCTCTTCCCCTACTGCTGCTCTTCCCCTCCCAGATGCTGGGACTGGTGGGGCTGGTGCTGTGCCTCGCTCCTGCAGATGCCCTGACTGCCTTCCCCCCAAAGTGTGAGTCCTGCCCCACCTGGGCACAGGGGAGGCTCCCCGGGGGGCAAGGGGGGGGATGCAGGACCCACACAGCAGCTGGAGGGAGCACCCACGTCCTGCATCCCACTGATACGGGGTACCATGAGCCTGGGTCGGGACAGCTCTTCTGGTGGGGTGGGGAGGTCAGAGGATGGGCATGAGAGTGATGGGGTGGGGCGATGGATGTGGGGTGATGGGGCAGGGTGGGGATGGACATGGGGTGAGGGAGCGGGGGGGGGACCGTGGGGAAGGATGGATGTAGTGTATCAGGACAAGGGGGCACCCAGCCCCATGATGGTGTGGGGGACGGGCTGCTCACACCACAGCCCATCTCTGACCCCAGCCTCTGCCTCTCATCTCCAGTTCAGGTGGGGAAACTGAATGGGGACATGGTGGTGAAATGCAACACCTCGGAGCAGCGAGTCACCTGGACACAGAATGGGGAGCCAGAGCCCATGGCTGAATTTGTGGCCAAGGGACAGACTCTCACCATCCTCGGCTTGGACCTGCCAGCTGCTGGCAACTACAGCTGCTGGGCTGGCACCGTCCTGCTGGACACCACCTACGTGGTGGTCAGCGGCGCCCGTATGTGGGGCTGGGTGCAAGAGGGCTGGCATGGCCCGGGGGGGGCCAGGGCTGAGGGACCAGGTGGATGGCGGTGACGGTCCAGGCAGGGGATGTGGGCAGTTGGGCAGGCTGGGGACCGGGTGATGCTCGTGCATCTGCAGATGTTCATGCCCAGCCCATGGGGATGCACCGGGCAGGGCTGTGCGGGGCCGGGGGGAGCCCAACCATGGGGACAGCCTCGCCTGGGCCATATGGGGAAGGGGCACCACTCCCGGCCCTGTGCAGCCCCAGAACTGTCGCCCCTCGGCCCCCCCAGGCGAGGAGGGGATGAACATCTCCTGCCAGGCTGAGTCCTATCATGGCTCCTTCCGCTGCTCCTGGAATGGCCCCCGCTCTGCCGTCTTCCGTGCCCGCCTCACACGCAGGTGGGTGCCCCAGGGACCCCCCGACCTGGGTCTGGCCCCCTGGCTGCCCAGCCCTCATGCCTGCCTCCCCCCCACAGCGATGGCTCATTGGGGAAGTGGGTGCCGGCAGCTGGCCGCCACGGCTGGTTCAGCGCCAGCTTCGCAGACCCCTCCTTCTGTCCCTTCGCCGAGGAGCTGCGCCCACTGCAGCTACACCTGGAGGGGCTCTCGGACACCTCCTATCTCAACTTCTCCATCCACTTCTTCATCCGCGACATCGGTGAGCTTGGGCCGGTGGCAGTGGGGTCTGGGGACCATCCTCGGGGCACTGGAGGCTCTGTGGGAGTGCTCAGCCCCAGGGCCAGGCAGCACTGCCCTGTGCTGAGCCCTGCTCTGCCCGCAGTGCGGCCCAACCCACCGCAGAATCTGACCGTGCAGCATTGGGGGGAGCAGCTCCACCTGTCCTGGGCCCCCCCAGCCTCCTGGCCGCTCCCCAAGTCCTACTTCGCCCTGCTCTACCGGCTGCAGTACGAGCTCCCCAATGGTACCCAGGTAACTGCGGGATGCCCGTGCCCAGCCTGCCCCTACACATGCCGTCCTAGGTCCTCGCTCTGCAGTGCCCACCCTGCCCCAGCCTGGGCTCTTCCCTCTGCCCAGGGGTGCCATTGGGAACAGGGACTTGCCGGGGGCTCAGCAATGGCCCCCTCCTCGCTACGCTGCTTCTCTCCATGAATTGTCACTCCTGGCTGTCACCTCTGCTTCCACACCCCAGCACTGCCCATGCAAGGCAGCGTCACTGCCCGGGTTGGGGAGGTGCTGGTGTCCCCCACTCCTGAGCCCCCAGTGCCGAGCCCTGCTCCTGCTGCGTCCCACCTTCCCCGCAGCCTTGCTTCCAGCAGCACCCATGCCAGCTGTCCCCCACCCTGGTGCCGGGGTGTTCCCCGAGGCAGTGACCTGCCCTGCTTTGCAGGTTCACAGGTATGTGGAGGGTGTGGAGGAGATGCAGCTGCAGGACCGCATGCGGCGGGTACGCATCAGCTGCCAGGATCCTTACGCCAACGCCTGGAGCCCCTGGAGCGCCTGGAAGGATGTTGATGCAGCCCAGCAGCACCGGCTCCGAGCACGCTGACTCCACGCACGGACACCTCCTTCCCCCTCGCACCCATCTCCCACCCTGCTGCACCTCTGTGTGCACAGGGACACCTAGGGCTGGGGGGCACCCCCCAGGTGTGGCAGCCATAGGCACCCAATACCGACCTTCCCATTCTCTTGTATGGTTTGGAAGAGGATTTCTACCTCTGTCAAAGAACTGGGCTTGGCTTTATTACAACAAACCTCAGTTAGTCTTTGTGTGGGGTGGTGAGTGCTGGGCCTCCAGCCTCCTCAGGCTCCAGCTGGGCACACCGCAGGCAGGGGTCCTGCCTGCTCTGCCCTTCTGCTCCAGGTGCCCAGACTGGCTGCTGCCCCGCAGAGGGTCACAGGCTTGTGCAAGGCCCCTGCTGCGCCACAACTACCTGAGGGGCCCCCGCTCCCTGCCGGCGCTGGGCTGCCAGGCTTGGCCCGTGGAGTCCTTATGCGCGGCTGATAATAGACGTGTAACACACACATGTGCACACATGCTCCAGCCCAGCCTGGGACAGCCCAGCTCAGCGGCCGTACATGGCCCTGGCCCTGGTGGGGGGGTCCCCACAGCCCTGCCAACTGTCAGGGCACACGGGTACCCTGAACCTCCCTATGCCTCATCAACCCCCCCAGATCTGCTTCCTTTCTGGGGGCTGCAGTGGGGCAACATCCCCAGCCCCAGGGGCAGCACCCCAGCAGGGACATGCTGCCATACACCAAGGGGGCATGCCCTGGGGGGGGCAGCACCCCATCCCCACATTCTGGGGTGCAGGATCCCTGCCTGACCCCAGGTGCACCAGTTCTAGGGCAGGACATGGCCACGGTGGGGGGGGGACAAGGACCACCCCCCAGCACTGGGGAGGCTCAGCTCCCACTGGGGCACAAGCCCCTCCACCACGTGTCCATGGTCGAGCCCCCACATTGTGCCCCACTCAGCATCCCCGTGGGGTTCCCAGCCTGGGGGCAAGGGGCCGCGGCCAGGCGGGAGGGAGCCAATACCCCCCAGCCAAGCAGCCCCCACGGGAAATGGCCCCAGCATCCAGGCTCCCACGGAGCCACCCCGCGCCACGGCTCTGCTGCAGACCCCGAGAGTGCAGCGGGGTGCCCCCGAGCAGGGCCCGGCCGGGGGATGCTGCCCCCCCCACCACAGACGGGCCGGCTCCGGGTAATGCCACGGGGCTTTATTGAAGTGCTTCTGCACGGGCCGGGGCCGAGACCCCAACCCCGCTGCTGCTCCAGAGAGGCTGGTGAGAGTGTGCGGCCCCGTGGGCGCTGCCCTCCTGGGGGGCCGGGGCCTCCCGGGGTGGGGGTCTGGGGAGCCCGGGTAGCCGGGGGTCCCAGGAGTCCGGGGTGGGGGGGCCATGGCACAGGGGGACAAGAAGGACCGGGGCTCCAGGAGTCCAGAGGGGTCCAGAGGGTCCGGGGGTCCCACGGCCTGGGCGTCCAGGGGCAGAGGTCCCGGGGCGCGGGCGAGCGGGGGCTCAGGGGAC